ATTAATTTGACGTGTTGATACGAATAGAAAAAACTGCAACATTATTCTGCAAATAATTAAAATTCCTAAAGACATTCATGATACTCTCGGATATAATGAATATACTTCCTAGTACTCCAGTACGCAGAGGAAATGAAGGAAGCTGGATCGATTCGTTGGATCGACGGTGTTGAAGATCTGAGGAAGCCATGAATCAGAAGATTTTGCACGGTAGCTGAAGATCAATCTACTTGGAAACACATAGTTGATAAGACCCCGCCCACTCCCGTACTGTAGCGCCGTGAAGTAGTACTAGTGGTTCCTAGAAGGTTGGAGGTGGTTTACCATATGAGTTCTACTCCCACTTTCCTTTATTTCACCAATTTTTATCAATGCTAAAAACTAACAGATTTATGAATTATTAAAAAATGTATTTATTTTGGCTCTATTCTCCCACTTTACGATAGATCATTTCACTGTTGTCTGCTATGAATATAACAATTCATTTTTCGTTCAGAAGTATGTTAAATTAGCGACGAATTATATCAGTTTCATATAAAAAGTAGTGTACCAAAGATTTACACAGAACATATCACAGAAAATAATTCAATCTTCCAGCTTTTATTTACTCTTATTGACCCTCCCTGCATCATCCTTCAATATCACAATCTACAACATCCCAAAATTACATTGAGATATTATTTATAAATAATTTACTATAAGTTAAGGTCTGCTGTTGTTAGGTATGACGTTAAGTTCTGTAGTAACATTATTTGGTAATAAATTTAATATTCATGATTAAGTTTACATCCCCGTCAAACGACAAGTCATACACTCATTAGTCTAAGCCTCAAATACTTCAAACACAAAAAAAACAAAAATCAAAATAAATTTATGGTTATCAGTAGACAAAATTGATATTTTAACGCCTAAATGTAGTCATTGTTGTCTATAATATTTAATAAAAATAAATCAGAATTATAAAAAATTTAGCTTTGACTAGGTATTCAAGTTAAGGCTTAACAGTTTGGCATTAAAGTTAACGACAAGGGGAAATGTGACGTTCAAAACGAGAAATATTTATGTTGCATATTTGCAACAGGTATTTAGAGGAAGACCCGAAAAATTCTCAAGAAAAAACTGATAACTGTGAGATCTCTTAAAAGAAAGACATTAAAGAAATGATTTACTCTCTACCTACATGTATTATTGTTTGAAAAAAGTACAAAATATACTGCAAAGAAAAAAATTATATAGAAAAACCAAGCCTTAACTCACTTCAAACTCGAAACAAAGAACCTAATATCCTTAAAAACTTAACACGGAAGCTTCAAAACAGCAAAACCCAAATTTCTACAGCTCAATAAATGATCCACCTTCTTCGAAACAGAATTTTAAAATAATCATAACAAATGTTAAAGTAATGCTCGAAATAAGCGAAGGAGAGATAGAACATGCCATCAAAGAAACAAAGCGTTTGGAAATGATGGAATTCTATAGAAATACTGAAACGAAGGAGGAAGAGAAACCATTCAATATCTAAAGATGCTTTTTAATAAATGCTTATTTGAGGAAAATGTGGTTTAACAGTGGAACACCGCTAACTATCTTAATTTACAAAAAGGTGACACCACACAGACCTAAAACATTACCGACCAATGTCGTTCCTTTCAGAATTATACAGAAAAAAACATTTACTAGAGTCAAAACCAATAGACTTACACGGAAATTTGATAAATACCAACCAGTAGAACAGGCTAATGGCGTAATGGCTTTCCAATAATTTCTTAGGACATTTGTTAAGTTTAACTTTCTAATTTACACGGAAATTTTGTGAAACACAGGTTTACGAAGAGGGGGTTATGTGTTCAAATGAGGTAGGGTAGAAAAGTCTGTCGGGGAAAAAATTGAAGAAGCGGATTGGCTAGGAATTATTTTAGGAAGTGAGAGGGTGAATAGATAAAAAGAAGAAAACGAGAGAAATGAGATCATCTTAAAATGGGTTAAAATGAGTGAAGAGCTCGGTTGCCAAAGTTGAAAAGCAGTGAATTCTTACTAAAGTCAATTTAATACATTAGAAAGTTGTGAGTAAAGGTGCTTGTTCTATGTGTTCTGGATAATATTGAAGATAGATGAATTGGAGAGATCTACACTTGCAAGTTATTTGCTTTCCTTATTTGACGCGGTTCGAGAATTTTATGATCCTGATTATGGTTTGAAGGAGACAAACGATTGCGGTTTTCATTTCGATATATTTGGAACAAATTTTGGAAGAAAAATTGTTTTTATCAGTGGCCAGTTTTCATCGGGAAGTTGGTTTTTATTTAATGTGGAAACTTTTCATATAAATATAGTGGGGTCTTCGATTTAGTACAAGCAAACCAATAAAACTTTCCCGAAACACTTAAGTAACTGTAAAGTGCTTTTCTGAATCTATTAGAACAGTGAACCAAATTCTAATATCATCTGAAGCTTAGCCAACATTATCTTAATTATACACATCTAATTACAAGTGTTAAAACTGAAGCACAAGGACAGCTATAGCGATATTAGTCATCTTTGATCATACCATACGTTGCGTCAATATAGTACAGGGAAAATAGGATAAAAAGGGATGTATGTACATCAACAACCAGAGAATCTGACAAAATGGTTAAATTACTAAATACAAACTGTACACGATGTACAGAATAGAACAAGTCACTGGTTTATCCTGATTTTGACTTTTTTCGGTTTCACTTTAGTATCAAATATCAATTAATGCTTAAAAAAATACTTGAAATTAAATCTTAAAATTGAAACTTCATAACTATCCCAGTATCCACATTAATTTTCAAAAATTGCGTTAGTCTCTAGACCAACAGCTAAAATTTGGAACGCCATAATGCAAAGTCAACTAGAAAGGGACTTCGTCAACATCGTCCAGCAGAGTATCAGAAGTTGTAACCAAGTTGAATACCATTTAGTAGAAGTTTTTATATCATCAGAAGATGTAAAATTAATCGGATGTTGTAATACGCATTGTAAGCCATTATTCTATTGCTAAATCTTATCTTTTCTTAAACCCTTTTAACAAATTTTCCAATAATTGCATGTATTGCGGTAAAAATAAAAGAATTATCATTTGGTATATTTATCATTGGTATATTTCAGATTCTGTCGGTCTGGAATTAAAAAAGTTCTATTTTTTTTGTCACTTAATATTTCGCCAACCAATTGTTGGCTTCATCACAAGTCACTACAAATTTATTAAAATAAAGAGATAAGCAAACTTACGATAAAATTACATAAATATTTACTCACAGAGGAAGAACCTGTTCACAAAAAAAAAACAAGACAAACATTTGTACTACAGTTTTACAATTAGACTGACAATTTTAAAATAAGTTAAAATACACATAAAACTACAAAGAGTGTATAGTAGGATAGACGAGTTTCTTGTATTTGTATATATAAAATTAAGTAGCAGGTAGATAGTAAAATAATTTTGAATTAAATGGATTGCGGAATATTGCTGTAGATGCTACGTAACTGATTCGTATCTGCTTTGTAATTTATTACATATCTTGTGTTGGCAGTATACCACATTTAGAGAAACAGCCTATTTTTATAATTAGTTACTGTTTGAAAGATTTCAACATGAGTATAGTCAAACTTGTGACCTGTGTTGATGAAGTGTTCTTCATGTATTTTTACCTTTAGGCAGTCACTTTTGTGCTCCTTAATACGTTGTTTTCACCATTGGCTTGTCTGTCCAATATAGCAACCTTCGCAACCTAAACACGGCATTTTGTAGATTAGATTGGTACTGTGCATTACTGGTGTCTTATCTCCAACACGAGAAAACAAACTTTTGTTATTAATACCGCTGTACCTGCCAATTCTGGAAGTTAGTGTATCTGAGTTTGCAAGAGGGCAATTGAATATTTAAAGTTTTGTGGAGCATCTCTATTCAATAATCCATCATACTAGTGGGAGTTGTAAATTAATTGTTTAAGTAGTGTCTTCGGATAACTGTTGTTAATAAATATCTCAAGTAATTTGCTCTGTCTGTTACTTAGAAACTGGTCGTCGAATATATAGAGTATTCTATTTTTCATAGAAAGAACTGTATTGTATTTCTAGTTTTTTGGGTGGTTGGAAGCGAAGCTTAGAAACCTGACTGAAGCAGTAGGTTTTTGGTACCAATCTAGTATTATATGAGTGTCTTTCGTGCTAAGAAAGGTACGCTATTGTTAGTTTCTCTCTAAACAGTAAATTGTATTCTATCATTAAAAGAGTTAAACGTATTGAAGATGGTGTCAACATGATCGTTTGGTACGGCACAGATAATGTCATCGACAAATTTGTATAAGAAGGTTAGTATAAATGGGAGGTTGATTGTGGTGTTTTCTATCAGATGATCTAAAAATAATGAGTGCCAATATATTGCTTATAGGACTACCCATGGAAGTTCCAAAGATTTGACGATAAAATGTGTTGTTGAATGAAAACTTCTCATGAAGCCAACAATCAGTAGGGGAAATATTAAGTGACAAAAAATAAAATTGTTTTAATTCCAGACCTACAGAACCTGAAATATACCAAAGAAAATCATTGTAAATAATATACAGTCGTTAAGAAAACAAAAAATTATTATATATATATATATATATATATATAAATATATATATCATATATATATAATTATTAATTAGTATAATGTAAGGTTGATTGGGTTAGCGCTGCTAACCTGCTAGCTGTGAACCAAGTTCAGCTGCTAACCATCAACCTTACCATTATACACTAATATATATATATATATATATATATATATATATATATATATATATATTATATATAATATATTAATAAAGCAGGTTGGTTAAATTAAATACTGTCATAAATAAACGTAAAATATTTTCAGTACTAAATTAAAACGCAAAAATATTCCACCATATTTAAAATATTTGGAATATTCTGCAAATTCACTTTTAAAGTTGATAAAGAAATTGTATACATTAAAGCCCATATTTGATATGGTAAGTCAAAATGCAAATGCAATTTATAATTTATTTAGTTGACATATTTCTTATATCAACCGGAAGTTATTATCAACATAACTACAGCAGACCTAAGACAAAACAACAAGGTAAAAAGACAAAAATTCTTTTTAAAAAGATAACTGGTAAAAGTTTAACAATGTAAAGATAAAATGAAATAGAAGCCAAACCACATTTCAGATGGACACCTACAAATTACATATCACTAATAACAGCCGTATATCACGATTTTGACTTGTGATTTTTTCTATGTAACTCCTCAGTCTGATCCTTAAGTTTTAATAACGTTTCTTGAAGAAAATCTGTAATGTGTTTCCTGGCTTCTTCTTCTGTCGCTTTCTTTTCTCTTAGCGCTTGAACCATCTCCGAGAGGTCTAATGGTTCACCGTAGTTAAACGTGAGGTTTTTACCGAATTTCAGTACGTACGGAGGTTCATTTGGAAGGACGTCATCCATGCCTATGTGCCAGATGGGAAGGACGATCGGCGTCACTGGAGCTTCGTAGATCATCCTCCCAACTCCCCATTTCAGTCTCATGTTTTCTTTTGTCATATTAACTTTACCTTAAACACAAAAATTGCAAAATTAGGCAATAGTATATTACATAACAAAGTATAGAACAAGACTACACTATAATTCACGGCCTAACTTTCGCGTGATTCGTTGGTGGGTGGGTCCCAATTTAAAAATTGGCGGGTTTCATGTTTATTAAAATGACAATTGAGAATTTATTAGCAATATATTGTGGTATTGGTACAAAGCGGATGATATTCATAGTTTAAGATTAAGCTAGCTATTACAGTTTTATTAGAAATTAAAAATTATTTTTTCTTTTGACATTATGTAGGTAAAATTAAATTCTGACTTGTGTTTATTTTATTTTGATATGCTAGTGACGCTTTTTTCATTAGATATATAGATATTGTTTTTTTTTTTATTGGGTAATTTTTTATTAAGATTTAGAGGTTCCTCTTATTATTTTTATTTCTAGAACATTCATTAACATTATTCTCATTAGCTTTCTCTATGTGGAATCGGCTTCTCTAAGTATTTTTCTCTAAACTTTTCTGTTCTCTTCCAGGGACTAAGTACCTCTCCGCTTTTTGTATATACTTAATGAATATTCAGCAGACATTATAGCACTTCAAGAAATCAGGTGGACAGGTAGTGCTAGCCTAGAAAAAAAGACTACACTCTCTGCTACAGCGGAGGTAAAGTAATCATATTTTTGGCTTCATACTGAATAAACGATTGAAATCAGAAGTCATAGCTTTCGATCCAATAAGTCCAAGGACATGTAGAATCCGAATTAAAGACAGGTTCTTTAATTACAGCATTATCAATATCCATGCTTTCACTGAAGATAAAGAAGACGAGGAGAAGGACATATTTTACGAGAAACTGGAAAGCACTTACAGGCAATGTTAAAACAATGACATAAAAATTATTATTGGTGATTTTAACCCTAAAGTCGACCAAAAGACTATTTACCGACCCACGATCGGCGAGCATAGTCTTCATACTGTCAGCAACCAAAATTGCTTACGCCTGATTGAACTCGCAGCATCATTGGTAGTAAGTACGTTTCCTCACAAAAATATCCACAAAGCCACATGGCAATCACCAGACGGTCAAACAAAAAACCAAATTGACCACGTACTAATTGATAGTCGTCATTTTTCGGGCGTACTAGATGTAAGAGCATGTAGAGGTGCTAATATAGACTCTGACCACTACCATGTAAGAACAAAACTCAGGGCTCATATATCAAATGCTAAGAAGGGCCAGAGAACAAAATCTACGAAATATAATACTGATGTGCTAAAATCTGAAGACGCTAGGGATAACTACAGGAAAAATTTTAAATGAACTGGGACTGTATTTAACCTTGAACTAGAAAAAGTAATTCGAGAGTGCCATATTAATACGAATCGCACCATCTTTAATAAATCTGTACAAGTGGTCGGTTTTGCAGATGACATAGATATTATTGCTAGGTCCACACAATCTCTGATCGAAGCATTTCGATCATTAAGGGCGTCTGCACTGATAATGGGATTAGAAAAACGCACAGAAAACCAAGTATATGTAATATGTATTATACTATACACGCATACAAAGGACTTCTCTTGTTATAGACAATCTGTGGGGTGGCAAATTCAAAATATATCTATAATGTATAATATATATATATATATATATATATATATATATATATATATATATATATATATTAAATTTGTACTTTGTCTTTGTTTGTATACATGGTTTTATGGTTAGAAACACTACTTTTATTTCAGCTTATGGCGTTATAAGGAGAAGCAAAGCAAAGGGCGTGTATTTGTTTTGCTCGGCCAGTGATGTTCCTTGGACTGTTGCCAAGTCGATAGATACCTTCGGCAAAAATCTGTAGATTTTGATGTATCATATACATCCTTTTAAATTTTAAATTATCATCAATATTTGGAATAATAAATATATTAAACTATACACTAACCAACTCAAATAATATCTAATGAACACAAAAAAATTGTTATTATTAAAACATTGTTTATTATCTGCACAAAAAACACAGAAAATCAGTGGACGATAGAGAACAGTGTCGACGTACACCTGTCGAATACGCTACTAGAAATCGCCAAGGAGTAGCAATCCAGTCGAACAAAAAAATTAAATATAAGACATCGCGACGTTATATTGAAATTTACACTGGGTAATTGCAGGTCAGGGGATCTTAATAATTGTATTAATAATTCGTATGTTCCGTTTTGAATATTCCAATACTGTATATATATAATAAATATTATATATATATATATATATATATATATATATAATATATATATATACGGCTGAGAAGTATATATTGAGTGATTTGAATCGGCATATACAGGATTCTCCTGCCTAAGATCACCGGACTGAGTTTATATATATATACTGATAGTAAAATCCCCTGGTCTAGATAGCTCTTTAACTCTCTTAATGAGTAGCAGACTCTATTCGTTTTTTTTTTTTTGTTGTATTTTGTATTTGTGAGGATTGTTGCTAAAGTTTTTTTCCAGAAAAGCACATTTGAGTCATCAGCGAAATTTACAATGTTTGAGGAACTACTAACCACAGTATTTGGAAGGTCGTTTATGTAGACCAAAAAGAGAAGTGTTATAGTATATAAGGAAATATTAACAAAAAATGTTCAGAATAAAGTGAATATTTCTAAAATTAAAAAATATATAGGGTGTTCCATTAAAAAAACGAAGTTATAAGCAACTTCCGGTATAACCGGAAGTAGCAAATGGATGGAAATATTTTGATTAAATAGGTCACTCTTCAAAACCCCTTCATACCAATTTTCATGATTCAGTATCTTTAGTTCTCGAGATATTTCTAATTGGCTGTTTATCTGCCGCACCCTGTATATGAATGAGATAAAATAATACAGATAGGTACACAAATCAATCCACATACACAAAAAACAACACTTTTGGCATCACAAACATCACAAACAACGATGATCAGCTGATAATCAAAAATTCTGAAAATGTGTGTAGTGTAGTGTTTTTTCTTAAAAATAAATTATCTTACCCTTTTATTTTACCATATTTTAAAAAAGTTAACCGAAACAGTTAAAATCAAAATAAAAAATGGAATTTTTATTGCAATTATAGTGTATTTTTATGTATGAGAGAGTAATAAAACAATAAATTATGTATGCAAATCCCTAAACTGTTGATACGGGTGACTCAATGAAAAACAGATATTTGTCAACAAGTTTACAGAAGTATATAGGAAAACAATTTTAAATTGAGTATGACCACCAGGTATAAAGGTTGGAGCAGAAATAGAATACAATAGTTGTGGAGGGTTACTAGTCCCATAAATAAGGTTGCCAGTGTCGGAGGGATGGAGGTTAACAGGTACTAATGAATTTGCAAGAAATGTGAGATGTTTATTTTATTGGTTATATATAACCAATAAAAGTTTAATAAGTACCTACCTATTTGCAAAATAAAGTTTAAATTCTTTAGATAAAATAAAACGTTTTATTTTATCTGAAATGAGTGCATTCCACGAAGTAAGGGTTTAAACAATCAAACAATTAATTCTTTAATTCCAGGAATCTACGACAGTAATTGACTAGATAATTACCTTCTAAACTTATTCCACAGAAAATGTGATAGTGGGTTTTTCCATTTTGTATGAAGGTCCAAGTGGCGTATTCAAAATTCTTAACAGTTCACTAAAAGTAGGTACTTCAGTTGCAAGGTGCAGTTTATTAAGTATACTAGTATTATGGAAAATTTGGAAGTGCCGTGTAAACGCCGAAAAATTGGTCCTTTAACAGTTAATGAAAAAACATTAATATATAATTGTTTTAAATCATTTACAGACAAACGTTTATGTGAAAGTGTTGATGAGACCGTTGAGTTAGTTAGCAGTACACTTGGGTGTTGGGAAATCTACGATTTACAGAGTTATTAAAGAAGAGAAATGTGGTAGTTTTCAAATGCCACGTAATGCTCCAGGGAAACCAAAATTTCAAATAGAATATCATTTAAAAGAAGGATTTCGACGGAAAGTGCATGAATTCTTCTTTAGACAAGAATTTCCAACATTGGATAAAGTTCTTGTCTCAGTTCGAGATGATAAGGATTACCCAGAAATGAGTCGAAGTACGTTATGGAAACTTTTAAAAGAAATAGGCTCCCGCTGGAAAAAGAATCCCAAAAGTCTATTTTATTAGAAAGAAGCGATATTGTCATATGGAGAAGACATTTTCTAAGAACCATAAAGGAAATGAGAAAACCAAAAAGAAAAATATTTTATTTGATGAAACATGGATCAACGAGGGTCATACACCAAATAAATTTTGGCAGGATGAAACTGTTACAAGTCAAAGGCACGGTTTTGTAAATAACTTATCTACTGGTTTAAACCCACCATCAGGAAAGGGACGCAGGCTGATAATAGTACACATTGGCAGTTCAGACGGTTTTGTTGAAAGTGGTTTATTAACTTTTGAATCAACTCGTACCGTGACTACCATGAAGACATATGAACGCTAATGACTTACAAGAATGGTTCGAACAAATGATAGATCTTCTTCCTAAGAACTGTGTAATAGTAATGGATAATGCAAGTTATCACTCCAGACTTATAGAAGGACTGCCCACAACCAAGTGGTTAAAAAAAGACTTGCAGAATTGGCTGAGTTCAAAAAATATTACGTACCATCCCGGATCTATAAGAAAAGGAACTTTATTCGTTGTTGTGCCCTTCATAAAGAAAAATTTAAAAAATACGAAATTGGTGAAATTGACAAAAATCGTGGAATGACAATACTTAGATCCCCACCATATAATTGTGAATTAAACCCGATTGAACTGGTATGGGCACAGATAGAGAGTGGAGTTTCAAGAAAAAATACCACTTTTAAAATTCATGATGTTAAACAGTTGTTTTTGGAGGCCGTAGAATAATGTAAAACCTGAAAACTGGGAAAAGGCAGTAGATCACACTATTAAAGAGAAGAGGAAAAAATGTGGAAGCTGGACAATATTACTGA